AAGCTTATTAGCTGAATTATGGCTAGTAAACACAACATTCGAATACTAAATTTATTTCCAGAGATTATTTCTGGTAGAAAATAAAAATTTTAAGCTGTAATAAAACAGCGATAACCCAATTTAAACAATTTCTACGCAGCAGCTATTTAAAAAAAGTAGGAAAATAAGAAAGCTGAGAAATTCAGCAATACAATCTGGAGGTTCGTACAAGACCTGCCAACCATTTCGAGTGAAGTTTAAGTTTATCTTCCAGTGTTAATCATTTATTAACTTTCGTGTGTTAACTGTCCTCATATAAGAATGGTAAAGACAGCAAGTCTACTACTCCAGCAACAAAAAACGTGACTTTATTGTTATTCAGTGAAAGTTCGCTCTAGCAAAGAGTAGTAACCATACCATCAAAACTGAAAATTGACAAACTATATATCAATGACTTCATTAATAATACACAAGTTTAACAAAATAATCACAGTAATTCAATTTTTCCTTTCTGTCTCGGAATAACATGCATTCTAGAGTTTTATTGTGGAAAACTTACCAGTGCATAAGCTACAAATGTTGTGCATTACCACTAAGCCTCAGATCAGATATGAAGATGTAATGAAAAGGTAAAAATGTAATGCTGAAATAAGGATTGCCTAAGGAAACAGATAACAGGGTAAAGTTTTGATGTTCTACCAAGAAGAAACTTAGAAAGAAAAAATTAGTAATCAAAGGCATAACAAGATCCAATAGTGGTGAAGATGGCATTGTGAGGTACGCGAAGGAGGGCTGAAACGTAGAAAAAATCAGCAATGGTGCGAATGCCATAATAGAAGTGGTCAAAGAAGAGAAACACATCAGAAGAATATAACTGGTAAATGAGAAAAATGTGCTACCAGTAATCCAAAAATGGATAACAGCAGGATATGGTCAACTACCATATCTAGACATCAGAGATAACTGTCACGACCCAATTTCCAAACCCGGTCGTGATGGCGCCTCTCGTGAAGACAAGGCCAGCCAACTAACCCAAATAGTCTCTTTAATATTTATTAAACATAAACGAATAGGTGAATATAGCTTAACGACAATAATAACCAGTATGTACAACCCAACACAACCCGACCGGGGTGTCACAAGTCACGAGCATCTAAAGAAACCTTAACACAACTACAGGCCAATAAATATATACAAGTAAAATTTCTGGAAAACAAAAGACAACATCTGGTGCCGCGAACGCTGGCGGTCACCTTGCTCAGCTACAATAATAATACCTTCAATCCGCTAATAACCCGCTACCGGGTGAACGATACCTGCAACTGCACGCGAGGTGCAGGGAGTAAAGTGAGTACTTCCAACTCAGTGAGTAATAGAAGTAAATAATAACTGAGCAGCAAAAAATCACGTAAAGCAACCAACGGGCTGTACAGAAGCCGGGTACAATTTCCGAGAAGACAGTGAAATCAGAGAAACTCTTTAGGAATGTTTCGGCTCAGTTCAAATCTCTTTTGAAAATGGTCCTTTCAATAATTACAAAAGCTGTTCAAAATAGTTAGTGTTGATTAGCACAGAAAATCCGCCCCTCGGGCACAAATACCACAGCTTAGCAGGTAAAAATGCAAATAAGTATGCAAGATGAGCACATAAAAGTTCGCCCCTCGGGCATGATTTTCGTTACTAGTCAGTCATTGTTTCCTGACCGGTCAGCCATTGTTACCTGACCAAACGCGTATTACAGTGCCATTGTTACCACTGGTCAGTCATTGTTACCTGACTGGTCAGTCATTGTTACCTGACCAAACGCGTATAACAGTGTCATTGTTACCACTGTTCAATATTCAATCACTCTAGATGGGTACCCGCGCTCACTGTGCGGGTGCAGACTCCGGAGGGGCTCCTACAGCCCAAGCGCTATATCATCATAAGGCCTGAAAGCCTGTACATATCAACATGAGGCCTGAAAGCCTTCTCACAATACACTCGAGGCCTGAAAGGCTCCTCACAATACACTCGAGGCCTGAAAGCCTCCTCACAATACACTCGAGGCCTGAAAGCCTCCTCACATATCACCCGAGGCCTGAAAGCCTCCTCACATCACTCAGCATATCCTCACATATGGCCCTCGGCCTCAATCAGTCCAAAAATAATCATAAGCCCCTCGGGCATCAGTAAAGAAACAATAATGCTCAGCTCAAACAGTAGTTCAATTATCAGTTAAAACTCGAGGTTGAGTAAAAATATAGCTGAGTTCATGAAACAGTGTAATGACAATGGACTGAGTTCAAATAATATTTCAAACAGTGAGGAAAAAAAATAGTGATGATAGCTCTTAGGGAGTTCAAACAGTCGGCAATAAGCCCCAAATATGGCAATAAGCCCAAGTCATAGTGAAAAACAACAAGTCATAGCGAAATACGCGGTAAAATCAATAACCGGGACGGACCAAGTCACAATCCCCAACGGTGCTCTACCCCACGCTCTCTATCCGGCGTGCAAGTCACCTCAATATAGCACTATGGGTGCAAATCCGGGGTTTCAAACCCTCAGGATATCATTTACAATCATTACTCACCTCGAACCGGTGAAATCTCAAACCCGCGACGCCTTTGCCCCTCAAATCGGCCTCCACGCGCGCCGAATCTAACCAAAATCAGAGCGAATACATCACAATATGCTAAGGAAACATAACCCAATCGAAAAGACTCGAAAAACATCGAAAATCACAAAGTTGGCAAAACCCGAGCCCCGGGCCCACTTCTCGAAAAATTACAAAATTCACATCACCGGATTCCTTATCTCCTCACGAGTTCATACATACTAAGAACATCAAAATCCATCCACAATTGACCCTTCAAATCCCAATTTAGAAATTTGAAAATTCCAAGCCCTATTCCTCCACTTTAGCAAAAATTCAATGATTTCCTAGATAGATTTCACAATAAAAACGAGTTTTGAGTCCAAGAAACTTACCTCCAAACGTTCCCCCTTGAATCCCTCGTTAATCTCCTTCAAGAATCTCCAAAAACGAGCAATTATGGGTAAAATGACCCCAAAATCGCGACTGACGTGTTTTAAAACATTCTGCCCAGGTATTTACTCTTCGCGATCGCGGAGAACAATTTTTCCAGCCCAAAATTTACTCTTCGCGATCGCGGACAATGCTTCGCGATCGCGATGAACAGTTCCCAACTCTTCCGTACAGCCTACAGTATAGTGGTCATAACTTTTTGCACACAACTCCAAATTACGAAAGGTTTGATGTTCTGAAAACTAGACACATAGGGCTATAATTTCATATATTGATCATTTCCTAACTCCTTATACATTGCGAGATATAATCTTCCAAAGTCATCCCTGTGTATTAGAGACCTTCCCGGGCAGCCTATAGTGTAACCACCATAACCTTTTGTACACAACTTTAAATTCCAATTAATTTATATTTCTGAAAACTAGACACAAAGGGCTACAATTTTCATTTTTGGATCACCTCCAAATTCCTTATAGATTGTGAGATATAAGCTTCTGAAGTGGGATCAACGCAACAGAATATTTCTTCTCCGCGATCGCGGAAGGCTTCACGCGATCGCGATTCATTGGCACGTTTCTCACATTTTACTCACCGCGATCGCGACCAATTTCCCGCGATCGCATAGAACACTGTTGTAGCCAAAAACCGGCAGTTAAAAATGGCCTAGAAATGGTCCGAAACCACCCCGAAACTCACCCGAGGCCCCCGGGACCTCAACCAAAAGCACGGACATATCCCATAACATCATTCAAACTTGTTCCAATCATCAAAACACATCAAACAACGCTAAAACTATCAAATCACATCGGATTCAAGCCTAAGTTCTTCAAAAACTTTCGAAATGCACTTTCGATCAAAAAGTCTACCAAACCTCGTCCGAATGATCTGAAACTTTGCACGCACATCCCAAATGACATAACGGAGCTACTGCAACTCTCTGAATTCCATTCCGACCCCTATATCAAAATCTCGCCTATCAATCGGAATTCGCCAAAATACTAACTTCGCCAATTCAAGCCTAATTCTACACCGGACCTCCAAAATAAATTCCGATCACGCTCCCAAGTCACAAATCATCTCCCGAAGCTAACTGAATCACCGGAAATCACATCCGAGCCCTCTAACTCATAAGTCAACGTCCGGTTGACTTTTCCAACTTAAGCCTTCTTAAAAGAGACTAAGTGTCTCATTTCTTATCAAAACCAATCCGAATCAACTCTAACTCACCACATACCGGTAATGAAACATGAAGAAGTAATAAATGAGGAAAACGGGGCAGTAATACCTGATACGATGGGTCGGGTCGTCACAATAACATAATTCATATTTTCACAGAGAATCCTATTGTTCCATCAATTGGAGTTATGATTCTTTACATTGTAAGCACGGAGAGCTTCCTGAAATTAGGACAAAGGACAACAAGTATTTCTTGAAGCTATCTGTTTATCGAATTAATTCATTTCAAGATTCCTAAATAAGTTCAAGTGGATTAGCTTAATTCCTTCGTAGCATAATGCTAAATTTGTCACGAATTGGCGAGGAACAGAGCAAGTTGTTCTTCCTCTTACAAGTCTCATTCTTTGGTTAATTTTCTCTTTCATGTGAAGCAAAGGTTTCAATATCTCCATAGTAGTACCTTCGTTGGCTTCGGGTTCACTAATGACTAAATTGGTCATGTATATAGCTGATTGTTTGTTACTTTACTGACCAAGCAGTCCGTCCGACCCTATTAGATTTGCTATTATGTTAACGTGTGTGAATGTACAATAACTAACAAAAGTGTTCATCACAGTAAGTCAATTTTCCCAATCATTCTTGAAAATGACTGCATTCTAGAGCTTCATTATATAAAACTTAGATTTAGAGGTTTGTTGAATGCGGTGCATTACCACTGAAGTTGAAAAGATTGTGCCAAAAAAATAGAAATTGAAGCACACTGCTTTGATGTAAATACCAGAAAATCTTCAAAACACAGAGTCGTCAGAACAAAGAACACTAAAAATAATTTTTGTATACGAATCCTCATAATAAAATTTATTGAACTGTTATCCATATTGTATAAAAGATACATGGTGTGGCAGTTTTCGGCATTTTATTTTGTAATTTAGTGAACTCACGGTGGAGGTCTGCGTAGCAATAGTTGAAACAGATAATATTTCTTCGTCAACAGCTACAAGATTAAGCGATGAAGCTGACTCTGCTGAACTCTTCACTGTATATTCGATTAGCATTTGTTTGTTCTCATTTATCCTGTAATTCGCACAGGAAATGTCAGACGATTATTTGTCCACAGAAGAAATAACAATTAAATAATAATGTGGTACATTTTAAGCATGTTTGTATTGAACCAAATCTGTAATTCAGTTGCTTGCACATATAGGGGATTGATTAAGATTGTTGAGTTGTATCTTGTTGCAAAACGGGTAACTGTGTATGCAAATTTTGTTAATAACCAACGCAGAACTATAATCCATATGTAGGAACAGGAGCTACTGAACTTACCACCCTGATATTTTGTGGTACCTATCCGCTTCGCCAGAATAATAGGATATTCTTGCAGTTGCCTCATTTGTCTCAGTAACTCAGCTCCTTCATTGCTTGCCAAGTCTTCCCATATAGTGAAGAAGAGAGGTTTCTTCCTGTACATGTACTTTTATAAGTGTCAGCTAGAGATTTTGTTGTGTAACAGAAGATTAAATGACTCACATTTTGTCCATAACTATGGCCTCTTGAAATCTCTTACTCTGATCAGCGGTGTATTGCATTGCCCCACAGTTTTCCACCACAGCTAATAGATCTGTTGTTATAAACAAAAAACAAATGTATGTAAAACCAGTATACTTGCATTCAGCATGAATTTCAAGCAGTTAAGCTGTTATAAGGCATAGGGTAATTTGAGACATACCAAATTCAACACCGGAAGGCTGTTGTGCAACGTTGGCGAACGAAATCGTACTCAGTCTTGACGGAGGAGGTAACGGTGCCTCCTTTTCATTATTTTTTGGGACAGGTTTAGGTCAAACAAAAATCAACATGAACCCAACCCTACTACACATAATATCCATTAAGAAAACTAATACAATAGTCAACTAAAAATAATCATAAAGAATACAAATGAGGTGAGAAAGAAGGTCTTACAGTGAGAAGGAATTACTTTGGGGCTTAAGCTACTGGTAGCTTTTTCTTGCTATAAACACCATTTCTTCACATTGATACAGCCTATAAAAAAATCTACAAACAAAATATTGATATTCCATTTCAGTTCTTGGTCCTAGAAAACTTTGAATTTTTCAATAGAACTCGATTCAAAAACATCGAAAGCAATAGCACAATCAACAGAAGAGATAAAGAAATTGCACTTATGGATATGCAAAATAAGTTGTTATTAAAGATCAGAAAAGCTGAGTTCTTTGGTAAGGAAATTACACTAACAGAGACAGGAAATCGAAGATTTCAGAAGTTTTTCAGTCTGTGAGATGGAACAGAAATCCCTAATTTAAACACCTACCAATTTTAATCAAATACCAGTGAGTAAAGAAGAACGGCAGAGAAATTCTCGTGTTGTTGCTGAGAAATCCAGCGAAAACTCAAGTAGAAAATTCCATAGAAGATACAGAGGAAGAGAGATGGTGGGAGTAAGATCGGATGAAATTTCGTGGAAAACATCCACATGTATCTGTAGATGCATTCTCATCTCATATGCAGCTTACGCAGCAAAGTTCAACGCACGTGTAAGCGCAGGGGAAAATAGAAGGTATGTGAAAATACTTAAATACCCTTTAGCAGCAAGCATGCATGACGACCTTCACCTGCTTTCTCTCACTCTTCTATATACTACTAGTATTCGTACCCGCGCGTTGCGCAGGAATACCGTAGACATAAAGGAGAATGAATTCGATTTTGCGGAGTTTGAACATTTATAGAAAAGTTTGATGGGTTCTACACCTTCCATTTGCATGTCTTTAAAGAGTTTTAAAGCTTCATCAAAATTTTCATTCAACACATAGCCATCAATAATTGCTGCCTAAGAAAAATATTTTTATCATTAAAGTCCGCCTTCCCAGTTCAACCCTGAAACTTTTCGAATACATAATAATGCAGCTCTTTTTCATGGTACCGGTTCTTCTTAACATCTCCGCACAAAGAAAGACCGTAAATGCATCAAATTTTCAAACTTCAAATTTGAAATCCTTAAAAAAAACCATAATTTATCATTCTAAATTTTGTCTTACACCCTTATACCCTAAAATCACAACATTAAACGACGATATATTCAGGTGCGGCATTTCATCGAATACCTTTAGAAATCTTGAAACCCCCCCCCCCAACATTTGCTATACACGGATATAAAAGAATCAGCGATAATAGTATCTACCCTCTATCAAACATCCATCTTCAAACACTTTATGCTGATTATGGAAAAGGCTGATAAACAAAAGAGAAGATTATATATTAAGAGTAGAAGATAAACTATTAAAAAAAAGTAATTTAAGGATTAAGAATTTAAAAAACTTATCATTTTGGGAAAATCAACTGATTCTAATGGATGATATAAATTTGTGAGAGCAAAGTCATCATTGAAATAAACTTGCATTTTTATTCAACATTTTATGGGCCTCAAGAACACGAGATTCAAAAAGAGATGCCATTGGCACATACCTGAAGCACACACTGAACTTAAAAGAACCGATTTTCACCAACAGTCTCAAAAGGACTAACGAACATTTACATCTTAACATGGAATAGAATTTCTTGAGATCAAGTGCACCAAGACATGTACTTGAATATGTTTTTGCGAAAGATCATTCATGGCACAAACTGACACCTGATAATAAATCAACAATAGAATAAATATATTCCATAGTAATACCTCAAAGAAAATATTGAGCGCAAATAAATTTTACAGTAAAAGGAAGTAGATAATGAATGTGATGTAATAATGCTGAAGAAATCATCTGTCTGCTTAAGAGAAAATGTACAATTTTTTACGTAAAAATGGAGGTCTTTCCACAGTTGTTATAACATGGTATTTTGAACAAAAAGAATAATGAAGGACATAAATGTGAAGAGTGAACTAGAGCCGAATTTAGTTGTTTGTTCTAATGTACACTTATGGTGTTGTTTTATTGATATATATTCGAAAAGTTTCAGGGTTGAACTGGGAAGATGGACTTTTGGTAGGTTGAAGTATAAAAGTATTTTTCTTAGACGGCAATGATCGATGGATATGTATTGATAAAAATATTGATGAAGGACTTTTGGTAGGTTGATGTATAAAACTATCTCTAAAATACACGGGAAAAAAATAGCCTTAAATATGAAGGTTGTAGAGCTGCAATTTAATTATATGAAGATGAATATTTACACGAACACATAATAAATAAATAAAAATAGGTAGAGAGTGAATACTGCTTGCACCATACATAGCTTTAATACACAATTATCTCAACTCCTTTCTTTGGTTGTCAAAACACTACCAAGAGACCTACTAAAACATATAAAGTTGAAATAATCTGACAGAAGCTTTGAATGTCTAGCAAAAATAGAACTTCAACAGATAAAGTTGTCATGTAATGCTTATATCTTTCGCATAATAAAAAAGTGTAGTATAACATGAAAATTTGTCATTGTATGTATGGTTAATCAGTAAATAAAGATGATTAAAAAAAAAAGCAAATGGAAATATGTTGAGGGTGAAGTTATTGCAGAAAATCATCTGTAATCCCATATCTTCCATTTAAGGAAGACAAATCATCGGTCTTTCCCAGCCAAATCATGATATACTTCATTCTTCTTGACTCTTATTCTCAAGAAAACATTATACCACACAACTTAAAAGGGCAACAAATTTGCCAAAACAAAAGAAAGAATACGGGTAAAATCCACAAAGGAGATTTGATACTTAATTTTTTTTTAACTTGGTGCCATCATTCATGATATCGTAGAGATAAATAACTCTAGAAAAGAAGGATCAAGGAAAAAGAAAGTGCAAATAACAGAGAAGAGATGCGTACCTCTTCTCTGTGATCTTACTTATGTGCACCTCACAGGAGATTTTAATATTATCGAAGCATTTCAAAAATTATCATATAACATATCCCATAGAAGATTAGAGGCAAGCTCCAACACCCAAAACTTTTGAAAGAATTTGCTTCTGAAAGATACAAAAGTTCAACAACCACTAAGTGAAAATATTTCTGTTGCAAGCTAACTTCAAGCAGAACCATACCTTTCTCCCCGCCTTTAATAGGGCAATCAAGCCAAGTTGTGCAGAGAGGAAACACAGGAATAATAATCTCAAACTGGAAAAAAATACTAACTTCACCATCCGAGGAAACTTTCAAATTGCAGATTTGTTGGCACGGATGAAAGTCACAAAATGAAAGGTGGTCAAATGAAATTAACAGACCACATAAATAAACGTATAAAAATTTTGTTCAATCATGAAGCTAGTAAGTTTTACATGCCTCAATAACTGAGATAATCATTTCTTGCACAAAACTATAACCGCATCATCCGATGTTATTGTCATGTCCTCATCCTCCTCAAAGCCATTTGTCACGACCCCAATCCCGGTCGTGATGGCGCCCAACACTAATGCTAGGCAAGCCCGACCAATTTAAATACTCTCAACCCAGATACACAATCCTTTAACAATTAATACGATTAAAATAGAAAAATATCAAGGTTCCAATCCGAAACTAATTAAATAGTATGGAAAAATAATAACGAATATCCCAACATTTCCCAATAGATCTGGAGTCACGAGTCTAGAGCCTCTAAATGTAACAGAGTGTTATATTCATAGTAATAAAGAAAAGTCTAGGATAGGAAAAGACAATGCAATAAGGGGAGAAGTCGGATCCTGCGGACGTCAGGCAGCTACCTCAACAACTCCTAAACCGAAATCCAAGATGACAGTAAGCAGCTCCACTAAGTCTCCGGAGCACCTGAATCTGCACACATGGTGCAGGGAGTAAAGTGAGTACTTCCAACTCAGTGAGTAATAAACATATATAATGGCTGAAAGTAAGAAATTCCGAATTATTACAATATAAAGCTATAATCAGCGATTCAGCACATAAAACGGTGGAACAACAACAATACCAAGACAAGTAAGACAAATAGGTATAAATGCATGAATGCAATGCAATGCACATGACCGCTGCGGCGCGCAGCCCGATCCATTTGGGTACCCGCGCTCACTGTGGGGGTTCAGACTCCGGAGGGGCTCCTACAGCCCAAGCGCAATATCATCGTAGCATTCGCTGCGGCGTGCAGCCCGATCCACACTCAGTCCAGATATATATATGCATGCAAGCCACTCGGGCACAGTCAAATTGTTCATTTTTAGTTTCAATTATTCGGAATTATAGAGCTAAGTGTTTAAACCTTTATTTATTTACTAAACATTTCGAGGCAGTGTCTAACTCAGGACTGATATCATGAAATATGCTAAGCATCATGGAAGCAGTGATAAGGATCCCTGAAGGATGCAAATGATAGGCACAAAGCCCCAAACATATTCATAAAATCCAAGTAGGATGATTACCAAACAATTTCTAGTCAAGAACACAGTACGAACATCAATCGGAACGGACTAGGTCACAATCCCCAGTTACAATCGACCCCGCACTCGTCATAGAGTACGTGTCTCGCCTCAATATAGCGTCACAATGTGATATACCGGGGTTTCAAACCCTCAGGTCATCATCTACATCTATTACTCACCTCAAGCCGGCCACAAGTCTAGCTCGCTATGCCTTTGCCTTTCGAATCAATCTCTTCGCACACCGAATCTGATTAAAACCACAACGAATACATTACAATAGGCTAAAGAAACATAACCCAATCGAAAAGACTCGAAAAACACCAAAATTCACTAAGTTGGCAAAACCCGAGCCCCGGGCCCACTTCTCGAAAAATTACGAAATTTACATCACTGGATTCCTCGTCTCGCCACGAGTCTACACATACCAATTTTACCAAAATCGGAGTTCAAATGCCCTTTCAAAATCCGTTTTTACATCACAACTTTTCAAGCCCTAGCTTGACCCGTTTTTGATGAAATTCTACTAATTTCTATGATAAATTTACCATAAACTCGAGTAATTAGACCAAGGAACTTACCTCCAATTGATTCTCAGTCAAAGCCCTCGAAAATTCTCGCTCAAAGCTCTCAAAACCGCTTTAAAATGGTGGAAACCAACTCTTGTTCGCGGATGAAAACAATATAAAAAACTCCTTCTGTAACAGTTGTTTTCGCTTCTGCGACAATTTCACCGCTTCTGCGGCCTACTCACCGCATCTGCGGTTTTCCTTCAAGTCGCCCAGGACCGCTTCTGCGGTTCCAAAACCGCTTCTGCGGTGACCGTTTTTGCGGAACTTCGTCCGCAGAGCCCTGGTCCCTCAAGGACCGCTTCTGCGACCAATACGCCGCATCTGCGGAACCGCTTATGCGGTCCCTTTTCCGCAGATGCGGAAATGACAGAACCAGCAACTTCAAACCTGCAACAAACTCTGAATTCTCCGTTTAACCACCCGAATTCACCCCAAGGCCCCGGGGACCTCAACCAAAAACACCAATACATCCTAAAACCTCATTCAAACTTGCTCCCATCATCAAACCACATCAAACAACGCCAAAGCCATCAAATCACATCGAATTCAAGCCTAAGTTTCTTAAAAACTTCCGAATTACGCATTCGATCAAAAACCCGACCAAAACACCTCCGAATGATCTGAAATTTTGCACACATATCCAAAATCACCTAACGAAGCTACAGCAACTCTCGGAATTCCATTCCGACCCCCGGATCAAATTCTCACCTATCCACCGGAATTCGTCAAAATACTAACCTCGCCAATTCAAGCCTAATTCTACAGCGGGCCTCCAAAATCAATTCCTATCGCACTCCCAAGTCACAAATCATCCCCCGAAGCTAACCGAATCACCGGAAATCACATCCAAACCTTCTAACTCATAAGTCAACGTCCGGTTGACCTTTCCAACTTAAGCCTTCCTTAAAGAGACTAAGTGTCTCATTTCCTATCCAAACCAATTCAATTCAACTATAACTCACTCGTTGCTGATAATGAAACATGAAGAAGCAGTAAATGGGGGAAACGAGGCTGTAATACAGGAGACGACGGGTCGGGTAGTCACACCATTGTCCTGAAAGAAGTAGTCCATCAGTGAGCCAAGAAAGAAAGATTGAGAAAAAAGAAAGTGCAAAGAGGTATGCTTATGTACATTAAATTAGTTGAAAATAGTAAGTACATGCTATACTATCAAATATATAAATAACATTAAAACTAAACAAACAAAAAAAGCTTTTTTCAAGAAAAATTTCCAAACTTGACAAAGTTTCTAAAACTTCAATTATCAAATATATAAATAACATTAAAATTAAACAAAAAAAGAGCTCTCTTCAAGAAAAATTCCAAATTTGACAAAGTTTCTAAAACTTCAATTTCACGAACTTTCAACCAAAAAAATGTTGATTTACACCTCCACTACGCTGTGGGTGTTAGTTGCTTTGTTAAAAAGTTAAAAATTTGGTATTTTCGGAGGGTATTTCGCCGGTAAAAATTTTCTTTTGCTTAAATGATGACTACTAATTCAACTATCTACAATTTTTACAATCCAGAGGCAACTAAATGTGTCAAATTTTCTTTTGCTTAAATGTGTCAAATTTGTTTTTGCACTCCTCATGACATTCCCTATGAACAAAAATTACCAAAAATAAACTAACTGGTGGTACATCATCTTATATTGAGAAGAAAAAAAAGTTTAGTTGACATTAGTTATGAAAGT